GGGATACAAGCACACCTAGGGTACAGAGTCAAGTTGTCAACTAGTTCGGTGAGACGAACGGTGGGACTGCCAGGAGCAGAGTACACAGGCGCAGATGGAGGCGGCTGCCCAGACAGCGAGAAGGCCATGTTTCTGTCTCTGGCCTCCCGAGCCTCCGTGGCCGCATACGTGTGCAATAATGCTCGATCGGTGCGTAGGGCACTGTCGATGCTCTTCGCTAAGATGGCGTCCCGAGATGCAACGAGCAACGAGTTGGCCTCCTCAGCGAACAGCTGAAAGGCCAGCTCTTCGTCGGTCAACGGAGCGCCATCTTGCTCTTTGCCCTTCCGAGAGCCTTCCACGCGGTCGATGTCGAGCAGGGCCAAAGAGGCGATAAGCTCGAGAGTGTCTGCTGTCGGGGTAGACATCGCGTGTCGAGGGCGCATGCGCTGCTCCCTGACCCTAAATACCGCGCGGCCGTGGGATTGCGCAGCACGACATAGGGGAGGCCAAGTTGTAGTAGGCAACGTCTTATCCCATTTCAGCCTCCGTCGCACGTGCAGCAGGAGAATATTCCGGTGACGTTCTCAACGACAGCGAGGCTCTTTCGCCAGGACTGCCTGGGTCATGGTTTTGTGTGCGCGCCACCGAAGAGAGCACATAGTAGACGGCTCCTCGCTGCTGGCAAGGCGTCTTTGTGGCGTCCAAGTGCACTGCCAAGCTCAAGGCTCCGGGCCGTTCGGCCGGCATCGTCGGCATCGGCGAGAGGAAAGTGCTGCCGTAAATGGCAGGGGCCATCTAATACGTCAGAGATCTGCGTACAAGTAAGCCATTTGCAAGGGCGCGCATATCTTTGTCTTTTGACCATCCATAAGCAACTCCCCCGTCGTCATCTCCCATAGCGAGCAGCTAACTTCTCATCTTTTCCGGCATGCACGCCCCATCCGCTCCCATTCTCTGCTCATTCTCGAATCCCGATGAGCTTGTCGAGTCTCTCGCACAATTCATCATAAAATCACAGAAGGAAGCCATTCAGAAGAAGGGCAGGTTCACCGTAGCCATCTCAGGCGGTTCACTGCCCAAGCAGCTGAACGGTCTCATTGGAAAGCCAGGCGTCAAATGGGATAAATGGTAGAGCTTGCTCCTGGCATGCCATAGGCTGATACAAGCTTAATCTCTTCCCCACACACAGGCAAGTCTTCTACGCTGACGAGCGGATTGTCCCCCTCGACCACGAGGACTCTAACCACCGTCTCTGCGAGGAGCATCTCTGGTCCAAAGTCCCTATCCCAAAGGAGAACATCCACACGCTCGACCCCGCCCTGATCCCGGCGGCGGCGGAGAGCGGGAGCGACGAGGATCCGCTCGAGGAGATCGCCGATGCGTACGAGAAGGGCCTCATCCGCGAGTTCGCGAACAGGGACTCGGCGCGCTTCCCCATCTTTGACCTCATCCTCCTCGGCGTCGGTCCGGACGGGCACACCGCGTCGCTCTTCCCGGGCCACTCTCTCCTCTCGGAGGACGACCGCTGGGTCGCGTACATCACCGACTCGCCCAAGCCCCCGCCGCGCCGCACGACGTTCACGTTCCCTGTCATCAACCACGCCGCGCGCGTCGCGTTCGTCGCTAGCGGTGCGAGCAAAGCGGACACCCTCAGGGACGTCCTTGACCGGCCTGAAGAGGGGCTCCCCGCATCCAGGGTGCGCCCGTTCTCACCTGGCCAAGTATACTGGTTCGTGGACGATGCCGCTGCGTCGAAGGTCGAATACCCGAAGACTCCGTTCAAGTTATAGTGTCAGACGATGATTAACAGGAAGGAAAGAGAACTAGTGTATTAGTATGTGGTCAGGACCTTTGCTTCGTTTTCTCCCTACTACCATATGTACGCACCCCCCTCTCTCTTCGCTTTCGTATATATATCAGCCCTTTCGGAATCACACCCCAAGATGTGGAATCTGTGGACTTGTTGACCTACCGTACATAACAGATACAGCTGCTCTGTCCCTGAATGTCAAAAGCCCTTACCGCGGCACTTATTGGCGCAGATATCGGACTGATGCGTGATATGGTACTCGCACCGCGCGGTGTGTAGCGAAACTTAACGAAAGGAGTAGATTATCTACATTTCAACCTCCTATCCCCAAAGTCCTCTGACAGGTTCCA